CGAGGAGGACCCGCGGCCTCATGGGGAGGACGGCCACAACAGGGGCAGGCGCCTGGGGGCCTGGGTGAGCTCAGGCCACCCTTCGCTCAGCCCTAAGGGGCTCAGAAAAGGTCATCTGACCAGGCGATGCTCTCCTGGACCTGCTTGCAATGATCTACCTAGAGCATTCTGGTTAAAAGGATGTCAACCTAGGGGCGCCTGGAGGGCTCAGTTAAGTGTCTGACTCAGCTTAGGTCATGATCTCACGGCTTGTGAGTTCGAGCCCGGCGTCGGGCTCTGTGCTGACGGCTCGGAGCCTGGAGCCCGCTTCCAATTCTGTGTCTCCCTCTCTCTCTGCCCCTCCACCGCTCGTGCTCGGTCTTTCTCTCTCTCTCACGAAGAAAAACCTTATAAAGGGTGTCCATCTAAAGTAGGACTCAACGTCAACGTGGGAAAATGACCGGAGCCTCACCTTCAACTGTCCGTTATTTTTAAAACAGAGTAAAAGCCTCTCTTTTACTCTACTTCTCAGACCAAACACTGACAGGCTTATCCCTGAAAACTGTAAAGGCAGCAAAATTACACATCTATTATGCAGGCTAGAAGCGCCCAAGGACCACTGTTCTTAGTACAAGCACTGAAAATAACCGGCCACGACTTAACAAATGAACCGACAGAGCATTTTTAAACGAATTAGAATGCTCAGTAACGACAGCGGATAGCTCCCGAAGCACGTGCCTCTCCCCCTGCTGATTTAGGGCACTTTTCCTCTCGGCGGAAGCCTGCATCCAGCTGTACAAGTGCACAGAATGCCTCTCCCTTCCCTCCACGTCACTTTCATGAAAAGAACTTCTAAAAAAACCTCATGCACTTTAGATCCAAGTCATGGATTCAGTCCAGAACCATCACTCAGGTCTGAGTTTTCTTCGGGGTCTCACTTGGCTTCCTGAGAGTCGCCCTGACCGGAACGGAAGCCGGACACAGCTACGGACTCGCCCGCGGACACACCGCGCCAGCCACGCGGGGCATCGGTGAAGCCCGAGAGCCCTCCTTTGCGAGACGAAATACGCAAGCCGCAGGGAATGCCGGACGGGCCTACCTGCACGCTCTCCCCTTCTTTGCAGATCAGAGGCGACTCGACCATGCTGTAGTCACGGCCCGGCTGCCAGACCCGGTCTATCAGCTGCACGTTGTTCCCTCCCGGGGAAGTGATGCTGTGCGCCCCCAGGGAGTCCTTTTTGGGAGGCTGGGGAGACCTCTTGGAGTGGTAGATGTTGAAGACGATGTCCCCTTTGCACACGTCAAAATCCCAAGTGATCACCGAAGAGGCATCCACAATCTGAATGAGGATCTGGAAGAAGACGTTGCATGAGGCGACCAAGGGAAGCACGAGGCCGCCCCCCTCCGCCCCCGCCCTGTGCTGCCACTGCCACTGTGGTGGCTTCGTCTCCGGAGGGGCTTTCTGGCCCAGCAGTGTGTGTGTGTGGGGGGGGGGGTCGTGGGAGGAAGGCAGATGTGTCACGTCGGCCGTCTCTTCACCCACATCGTCCTTCCGGCCACCCAGCCTTCCGGCTCTCCCTTCTTTCGACCAATGGCCCCCACTCCAGGTCAAGCTCTGTGCTCTTCCTTGGCTGCCGCCACGGCCCAAGACTTCCCACTGCACGAGCCTCAGCGCTCGAAACACCGGGCCCTGGCTGTCAAAATGCCTCAGCCACACAGAACAGAAGGAACCCAACACGGTACAGAAGTGGTTCCGTGGGTCGCTCTAGGCTGGCCAGCACAAGGAAGGTGCCGGAGAAGGCGCAAGCGGAACAGAAGGCACGTGGAGGAACAGAAGGAAACGTTCCAGGCAAGCGGAGGGAACGGAGGCTCGCAAGGCACGGCGGCAGCCAGCGCAGTCGGGGGAGAAACGAGCCACGTGGCATGGGGCAGGGGAGGCGCCCCGGGGACCGAGCGCCAACCTAAAACCCGAACTTCCTAACTGCGCGCCCGTATAAAGTTTCCCAGTAGGGGATGATCAAAGTTACAAAGTTCAGAACATGACTACGGGAGGGACGTGAGAATTGAAGCCAGCTGTACGAGGCTCTGTGTTCGCTCGGAAACCTCAGCCGGGGCCGGGGCCCCCTCTTCCCGGGAAGAGCCTTCTGCTCGTCGTCAGGCAGACTCTTCCCTCCTCACCACAGAAATACCAGCCCGGAATTTCCCGAAAGAGCAGATTCCAGGAGCAGCGGACCCCTTTGTGGGAACCGCGGTTCCCTTCCTGCAGCGAGGCGGCTCCCCAGGGGCACAGCTCTCCCGAGAGGCACCCCGTCTGCCCACGGGCCCCCTCCTTCCCGCGCTCATGAGGGGGCCACTGAACTCAGCCTTCGTTTCAGGGGCGTCACCATCCTCGATTTGTGTTTTACTTCATCCCCAAAGCAAGTGCTGGTGCTGTGACATAGAAGACGTTCCCGCTTCCACAGATACCCCGTGACTCTCAAGAAACGTCACGTGCCACCGAACTCTGTGCCACAGACCAGACGGGGTCACCGGAGAAACGAGAGCTCCGCCTCCTCGAGCCTGGTCTCCGTGCAGGAGATCCATATAAATAATCCTGAAGGCAAAGCCCTGAGAATTCGAGATCTCCCTACAGAATCTAGGAATGAGGCACACTTAATGTGCCTCCGCTTGTTCGAGCACAGTGACGGTCCCTGTCCGCCCCGCAAGTGACAGGCCGGCCATTCCAGGACACACACCAGCAAGGACAGATGGTGGGTGGCGGTAAGGGGTCAGGTCCCGGCCACCGGCTGCGGCCTGAGCCCGCAGCCCCTCCTCGCTGACCCCTCGCTGGGAGCCCAGGGCCGCCGTCCTCGGCAACAACCCTCGAGGCGGAAAGCTGCCCGGAGCTCAGGAGGGGGGCTCGGCTGGGAGCCCTCACAGCTCAGGCCGCTCACAATTGTCGTCAGAGGACACACAGCGTAGACAAAACACAGGCGCACTCTTGCTTCCGCACCAGAGGGGACAGCAAGAAGGGAAGAGAAATGTGCCTTCTCCTCACTCTGCTTGACTTATAAAAACGGGCAAATTCCTTAAAATCTAAACCACCAAGGCCCGGTCAGGAAAAAAGAGAAATGAAACCGGCCCTAAGTAATCGCTGAACTAACCAAACTGAGGAGTCAAACATCTTCCACAGGAAAGACTTTCCACGTGCCCCTCTCAACCCTGCGCTAAGAGGTTATCCAGTAAAACGGAGGTCAGGAGGCCTGATCTCCTTCCGAGCACAGACGCCTTGAGAGACGCCTGCCCTTCAGTGTAGACATGTGCCTCAACTACAGATTTAAAAAACAAACAAACAAAAAATCGGCAACAATCTAAAGACAACAACCAGAGAAAGCATCTGATTTTCCTGAACTAAATCCTATTCGGAAGGCCGCCCGAAGAATTTCTCCCTGGGGAGAAGGGGCCCCACCGCCCTGGGCCGTCACCGCGGAGGGCGCACCTCGTGCGGGGCTCCCTTGAAGACGCTGGCAGACTGGTAGATGGTCTCGGTGCACAGCTTGAGGTCTTCGTTCTCCAGCTCCTCCGCGGTCCTGTACAGAGATTTGGGAACCAGTCCGCCCTCGGGCACTTCACACTAGAAACAGAAACGCGGCAATAAAAGCTGTGTCCGCACACGGGGACCCCCTGAACACCAAACACTCCGGCGAGGGCCACGTCCCAGCGTGCTCAACTCCTCCGGGCTGCTCGGGAAATGGAAAACACTGGCGAGGTCGAAAAACATTCTGTGCGACTTAGCAAAAGGATTTTTAAGAACCTCTTAAATACACGTGTCATACTTTAAATGAGAACAAGTTGAAGCTGATTTAGCACAGAATTCACACGAGTGTTTACGAGGTACTGGACTCAATTACTAAAGCTCGTTTATGTAAGAATCGCAAGCATTCACACGGCACCGTGAAGAGGAAACGTTACGTTCAGAAAAGCTGGATTCTCGGCAACTACAGGCATTTCTTTATTACATGCAATTACCGTCAATACGTACGTAACCAGCAATGAGAGCTTTGTGTCTGACCCGGGTCAGAGGATCCGTCCACAATGCCAGACAAAAAAATAACAAAGGAGAGCTTCTTCTGAAGCTGCTGCAAACAGGCTAAGTTGAACTAGAATCTGTGTATTTCATAAACTTCCTCGTCGACCTTGACAGAGTGACCCAGCACTCAAGTTCACGGCATCTTAGCAGCTCTTGCACCATCGGCCCCGGGAGGCAAGGACACAGGGAACCCACACGACGGTGTCCGGCCGGCAGTGCGGCCAGCCTGGAGACCTATTCCGGAATGACGTCCTGTTAGGGGACATCGGAGCGCCGAGTGCGAGCAGCACAGTGTACAGGGACACATGACAGCCGGGAGAGCCTCAGGCGCCGGAGCCCGGACGCGTGGACAGAAGAGGACTCTCAGCCCGGTAATCGCATCACGGTGGTCGGTGCCTGACAAACGTGGTCCGATCCGCCGTGAGCCAGGCCTCCCTCCAGCTCACAACGGAAGGACCGGCCACTCGGGACCGTTCTCATGTAACGCGAGCCGTCTGTAGGATGCTACATGTCTGACCTCCCGATTCAACGTCACGGCGCCTGGTGAGGGGGGCCCTGTAGTTCGCTTACCCCTCGCACCGCGACGCTGCCTGTAATTCCTGAGCACAGGACCCATGACCTGAAAGCTGGATCCGAATGCTGTTCAACCTCCTCCACCCATCCCGAAAGATTCCCCCAAAAGCCCAGTTCGTTAGCTCATAAACGCACGCGTCAGATCCAGTGTGTACGTACCCGAAGCGGGTAACTTTATTTACCGTGAGGATGACAGAGATCCTTCCTCTAACGAGAGCCTGACCCCCCTCTGGCTTCGGCTGTCACTTCGGGAAGCCACCTGCGCCTCCGCAGGTCTCTTTCGCCCTTGTGTCATGCCCTGGGGCTGTAAGGTCCTCAAGGACCCCTCATCACAGTTCAGGGCACACAAGAGGAGGTGTCTGCACGAGAAGCTAGCAACTCAATGTATTAAAACCCTGATTACAGAAAAGAAGTGGTTCTCTTAACGTATCCCCTTTGAAATGTTATCCTGATTTACGGTCCGGGGGGAAATCTTGGAGAATCATCTGGAGTTAAGTGTTTTTATAAACGCACAGCTTCCCCCCGACAGGTAAAAGAAATCTGATCCACACGAAGCTGAGTGAATAAAGCAAGCCGTAATTATATTAGAGTCTAAAACGAATCCTCATTAGTATTTAACGACGAAGAAATGGACATGTTATCGACCATCACTTACATGGTTCTATTTAGTTTAACTCTGGGTCAGAGAAATGTCAGCCAAAAGAAAGACAATACTCCCAACTAAAGGTTCTGAAAATCATCTGTACCAACCAACGCCCACCCTCCCTATCCCTGTAAAGCGGCCAAACGTGTAACTACTTGCCTAAATACATACCATGCACTCCCCGCTCAGGAAATCTGGAATAATCTCTTTATCGATGTAATCCAGCAGGCCGCCAGGACCCTGGTAGTCATTTCCTGCGTAAATCAGGAATTTCCTTCTGGTGTTGTCATCGATGAATGGACTAACCTGTAGGTAATGAGAGAAGATCATGCGGTCATCTTTGCTTGGCCGTCCGATTTCCAAAGATTAAAATGACAACGTGACAGTATGGGGGGGGG